GGGGTCCCATCACATGATACCAGTGTAAGATACCAGCAGTGTAAGAGCTGCTTTTCCTTGGCTTTCTCTCTTGTTCCAGAGATGTATGTGTACACTGTAGGGTAACCCGCCTCATATAGCCAGCATGTTTGAATCTAATTAATGCATAAAGGGGTTAAAACCACAGAGTAAGCTGTCCTGCAAGGCTTTGCCTATGTCACTCCCCCTCACCTTGGGATGACATAGGTAACCAAGCCTTTGTTTTTCTCTCTTCTCCAGGTGAATTCAGTATATGAAGAGCTCTGAGCTGGTTGCTCCAGCCAGCTACATGGCTTTAACCAACCTTTTTGTTTATTCCTTTCTTAAACTACAGATTTTGATCAGCAGTAAACATTAACAAAAGCCTGAAAGGATAGCCATATTTTAAAATGGAGCCTACATATTTTCCCCAATCATCCTTATGTGAAATAGGAAGAATATATATATATATTTAGACAACTTCCAGCACACTTACCCATCTTTTTATCTCACCCATTCCGCTATGTGTATTTATAATCCTTTCCCCCAGTCTTTTTTCATGCATTTCCTATTAAACATTTTTTGTTTACTTTAAATCAATATGACTATTTGGTTTTCTTTACCTCCCCGCCCAGCTATGATGTTTCATTCTGAACATTTTGCTGAAGGAAGTACCGTAATCTAGAATCGCATATACTATAAAGCAGGCAGGTTTTATAATCTTCTTTTTCAATGAGCATTGATATTGGCATCTAGAAAGGAAGGCTGGCAAATACAGAATTTTAATGCACATCAAACCACAGGAATGTAATTTTTCTAACAAATTTCCTTCTTATTTAATGAAATTAAGCATGTACCTTAACTGAAACACCTTAGAATTGCATTCATCATTCTAAACGATATCACAATCCTACCTGAAAACATAAAGGAAGCTGCTCATATAAAGCACCCACTTTTCTTCAGGACTTTATAACCTGGGTTGCAAGTATCAGCTTTTCCTGTGGTCTTAATCACCACTTCTCCATACTTGTTCAAGTTAATCATTCCACAACTTGCATTTTAAAACTAAGTTTTATACCATGGGTAGGCAAACTAAGGCCTGGTGGCCAAATCCGGCCCAATCGCCTTCTAAATCCGGTCCACAAATGGTCCAGGAATCAGCGTGTTTTTACATGAGTAGAATGTGTCCTTTTATTTAAAATGCATCTTTGGGTTATTTGTGGGGCATAGGAATTCGTTCGTTCCCCCCTCCCCAAAATATAGTCTAACCCCCCACAAGGTCTGAGGGACAGTGGACCACCCCCCTGCTGAAATAGTTTGCTGACCTCTGTTTAATATCTTATATTTGGTATTTCACTTGATCTTTTATCTTCCTGTCGTTAGTATCCACTTTGCCCTGGTTTACATGTGGAGACCATTCCATCTTCCCAATGTTCAAACCATAAAGGCAACTGGGGTCAAATACATGTTCCTCATCTCTTAATTACATCTTCACTCATCTCTTGTAAATATCTTCTACCATTTAATAATATTATTTCATTCAATTGGATCTTTGCTGCCAGCTGCCCAAAACGTTGACCAGCACAGCCTTGTTGTTTTAATACTTTTTCTACATTGTTAACTCAAAAGTGAGGTACTTCTAATGTGATTTCCTTCCTTTTGTGTTTTGTGTGCGTGCGTGCATGTGTGCAAATACACTTATTCTACTGCTTTTCAGTATGCTAACATTTGGTAATCTAGTCTGAGGTAGGTAGTTAATTAACATGATGTGACTAAATGGTGTGGCGTTTAGCAAGAGCAGAAAAGCAGTCCAAGATAAAAGGAGCTGTAGCTTTGTCAACTCTGACTTCTCAAGACCCAGATTCCTTTTTAGAAACAAAATCTGGTGGAGAAATGATCTCACTTAATAAAACCTACCTTCCTTCCTTCCTTCCTTTCATGAGCCAAGCATCCAGGCTTACATCAATTCCAGCTTAAACTAATTCTGAATTCTACATATGCACCTATTTCATTACGATTGGCTATAGCTTGCCTGCATGGGAACACAAAAACACAAGTTTGTGTGATGATCTATGTGCACCTTGCACTCCCCCCTCCACTTCTTGGTACTTCAAGGTGTTTTCTATATAGGAAATTTCTAACATTTTACTTAGCCCTAAATCAGGGACATTAACTGGACTAAGATACATTAGCCCCTGGTCTGGGGGAGGCTCGTGTCCCTCTCTGCTGTTCGCTTCAGTAATACCCATACACATTAAAACACACCATAGTTAACCAGACAACTAAAGATGGAAAGCGGCAATGATTAAAAATTCAGAAGGTAAAATTGTTCATCTTAGCAGTGCATTGGCAAGAATGTATGCCAAGGGAGAGGAGGGGAAATGCAATGAAAGAAGCTGTGAAAGTATCACATTGAAAAGCAAGGTGGTGACAATTGCATGCTGTAAATCTGTTCTGACTGCACCTGGAAGGCTGAATTCAGCTCACAGCACCAGATTGCCAGAAAGATTTCAGAAAAGAGTAGGATAACCTAGACTCATAAGGACACACTTGGAAAGGTAAAGGAATTAAGCCTATATATTGCCAGGTAAGGAGTGGCTTGCAGCCGTTATAAGGACAGGCTACTGACACCTGATACCACACATACCTGTGTGTGTGTGTGTAGATGCAAAAGAGACTAAAGGAAAAGAAATGGAGTGAGACTGGAGAGTCAGTACCTGGTTTGGATTAGGTATATACCTTTCCAACATCAATTTACCTTTCCCTGGGGCACAGAACAGAAGCAACTCTAAAACTGGATTTTATGGAAATCTAGCATGGTGAACAACCTTATCAGCACTGAGGGAAGCTAATGAGCTAATTTGAAAAATGATTTGCATGTCATTTGCAAAAACACGATGGATTTCAAGCCATTTTTGGTAGGCATGACTCATTGATTCTGCCACATTCCTGTTCTGGAACGGTTAGTCCTTGATATTCAAAGCTTATGGTTATATCCAAAGTAGTCCTGAGTAATGTCTCCCATCAGTCCAAGGGGCACTCCCACTTTCCTCCTCCTCCCCCCCATCCATTCTAGGGATTCCCTTAACTCTCTGGAGCAGATTTGAGGAGAGGAGAGGGGGAAAGCCCTGTTGCGCACTGATGCATCCTTGCACTGATGGGATGCATTAGTTGGATACCACCTCAGGGTTGCCACCTCATAAAACTAAGGAGTTCTTCTTCTGAACAGTGCCTGGGAGCGCCACCCAAGTTTCTCAGAGCTCCCCAGAGGAAGAGGAAGGTGCCAATGCATTACATGTATAAATAGTAAAAGAACACAGTTTATGTGATAAATAAATAACTCAATGCACAGATTTCTGGAATATAGGAATTAGCATTTTCAGTTTCTCAGTTTAGCACAGGATGATAAAATGGGGGAGAACCTTGTGTTCCTTGGAGGACAGGCAGGATATAAATGTAATAATACGAAGTTTCAAGTGATGTAACAAAAATAGGTAGCAGAAGGAAGAGAATGTGTAGTTTTGTAGCAGCAGTACTTGAAATGTGTTTTCCTTAGCAGCAAATCTCTACAGAAGAATTCTAGAAGAGGATTTCCATTAGGCTCTGGTAACAAAAGCTGTGGCCTGCCTTGCATGTTGCACTAAGCCTTAGCTTAGGAGAAATCTGAGTTCTAAGAGATGAACTCACAGCTGCTTTGTTCCTCCCTGGTCCTCTTTTGCTGCCATGCTTTACTGAGCCAAATTTGGCTTAGTGTGCCATCCAAACCCAGACTCAAGAGTAAGCTCTCTTGAGACTAACCATAAATTGTGACAAGCTTGTGGTTTGTCTAGGGAGGACATACTATAAGCCTGAGTTTGGGAAACGCTAAGGTCAACCTTTGGTTTAGTGGAAGATGGTGCAGCAGCAGAAAAAACCAGGAAGAAAGGAAGAATGTGGATGTTAGTTCCTGTTTGAGAGTCTGCACTTTGGTGCAAAACCAGACCTTGGCTTAGTGTGGTGTGGGAACCAGGCAAATTAGCATTTAACTGCATCTGTGGCATGAGTTTTTGCATGATAGAGCATACTTCATCTGGACACATGTGGTTTTTGCTTTAACAACAAACTTTGCTCCTTCTTTTTTTGGGAGGAATGCACAACCTTTCTGCTTTGTTCCTTCCTCTTCTCCTAAATTAGTCACGAAATCTTCCTAACCGGAAGGCTGTCACATGTAAACTGAACAGCAATTTGTATTTTTGAATGATCTCCTTGTTTTCCAGTTGTACCTTGGGGAAGATTCCTATCGCTGTTTACTCTCCAGGCTGGAGATTGATGTGAGCAATCACATAGACCTCTCCTGGCCTGCATGCCAACAAGCACCCAAGCTTCCCTTTCTGCTTCTTTAGACTACCAACTATTAAATACCAATTGCTCAAATTCCAAATATTAGGCATTACCAGATTTGTAGACTTGCTTCTGTCTTCTCTGAGATCTTGAACTGGGGGCATTAAGAGAATAACCAAATGGTTGACAGGCGGTGATTCACACAACTTGATATTTTCATCAGTAGCATCTAAGGTGCAAAGTCATGCACCCTCCCCTAAAGTTCATTTTTATTCAAGCTTGGGGCAAAATTGTCCTTTCAGATCTGCACCACAAATGTTAATTTGTAAATGCTTCTTTTCCTTCTATGATCTCCCATTAACGTCAATGAGTTGTGTGTTTGCCAGTTTACAGAACAAACAGACCCAAATGAAATGCTCCATTAGATATCTTGATTCTCATGGTCAGATGCAACGTTATGACCAACTTGTGATGTTCTTGCATTCATCAGTGAAGACAGTTGCTAGAGTGTCCTTGCTAGAACAAAGATTTGTGATGTTCAAAGCAAGCCTGCCTAGTGGGCCTCTATATGAAGGGTGATATTCAACTGAGTTTTGTGCAGAGTAGACCCACAGAAATAAATATACCTAACTTTGTCACACTTGTTAGTTTTAGTGGGTCTCTGCTGAGTAAAACTTAGCTGAACCTGGGATAGCTCAGTTGGGAGAACATGAGACTTAATCTCAGGGTTGTGGGTTTGAGCCCAACATTGGGGAAAAGATTCCTGCATTTCAGGGGGTTGGACTAGATGACCCTCAAGATCCCTTCCAACTCTACAAATCTATGATTCTGTGAATGCCAGCATAAGTTGCTCCTATTTCCCAGAGCACTTCCTTTGCCCCTAGCTGCCTTTGCTGTCTTGCCACAGCTCAGGACTCTACCCTGCCACTTCCTTTCATCAATGAATTTTCATTCCAAATCTGTTGGTGCCTCTTAAAGATGTTGATCCACATCACTGGAACAACAGTGAGCCTCCTTTTGTGATATGACAGTTTCCTCTGGTGTTGTGTCAAATATCAAAGTGCAGGAGCTCATCATGGTAGCCCCCATAGCCTTGCACAACAAGTCAACCCCCAAAATGTAGACATCTGTTTTGATACATATATATACACACCAAAGAGCAGCAGTATATAACATAACATCCAGTTTATTAGGTTTAGCTGACAATAATAGAATAATGAGCATGCAAAGAGTGGTATAGTGGAATCCTGGGGAGACTTTGGCTTCACATCCCTAAACAACCATGTATCATGACTGTAATTCTATGTATTACCTGGGAGTAAGCTCTACTGCACTCAATGCTGCTGCTGATTGCATAGGTTCTATTTATAAAATACCTTGAGCTTTATAAAAAGAAATTCAGCGGGCTGAAATGCAACATTTAGCTTTGGATTAGAAATATAGACATCTTGCAGAAAGGTGTTAATTAGAAATGTTGACTTCTTGCACAGATCTTGAGCCAGCTGAAATCCAACCTTTAGCTTGTAATTAGAAATGCAGACAAATTTGCAAAGGGATGTTACCCTTTAAACTGATAGTATGAAACAGGAACTCCATGAAAGAAGTCTGTTAGATATTTTTGTCATTCTCTGGCTTCTTCCATGCTAATTTGTCACAAACAACACTGAAACTTGAAAGCCTCATTATCACCTCATTCACCTGCCAGAGCAAGGGGAGCCCACAGTTACTCCAGCAGCAGATTACATCATCACTCCTGCTCTGAAGAAGAAGAAGAAAAGCCTCAGAGCTGCACCGCCACCTGCATTCCTGTTCCACTACAGCACCAGTAATGTCCTCCTATCAAAACTGAAAATCATTTGGCAAAGAAACATGCCAGTTCAAGTGCTAGTGTCTTAGTACGTGGAGTGCAAGATAAATAGATAGATGCAGCTATTACTACAAAATTGGCAAACATGTTTTGCATTACATCTAACATATGGGACTCCAGACAGACACAGAACTGGTAAGTGGGAGGATTCTGTTTTAACATAGATGCATTTTAGAGCATTTGGTGTGAAAAATGTTTGCATTGAATACAGTTTTTTTAAAAATAAAATAAAAAATAGCATAAACTTGGAAAGATACAGGAGAAAAAATTGCAGAGGTGGCCAGTGTCAGGTTCATAGATAATCTGGGTCTGACCAAATTTAAAGGATGTAGTTACCTGAAAGCTTGTTGTTTCATTTTACAGATGGGTTGCTGAGGCTGAAACTGAATGAGTTGCCCAAGGCCTCCGAGAAAGAGGTGAGTCTTACACCCAGAATGTTTAGATCCAACAGCTATTGGATAAAGCAATAGACAAATATCCCTGTTGCACGGTGGGACTAAATATCTAAATGGTATCTCACAAAGTTAAAAAAAACAAACACCCTCCTCTTGCATACTAGACTCCTATAAATAGGGAATCCTTTAAGCTCAAACATTTCATTCCCCATTTGCATTTTAGAATGGTATATTCCAGCCACATCTATATCACACAGGGCTGCAAATTATGTCATTTTGTTGTTTGTCATCCACTACATCACACTGGCTGTAATTGCAGAATGAAAGGGGTATTGCGAGCTCATAAGTTGTAGACTGGATCTCTGTTTAAGGGCATACTTCCCTCCTTACTACCATATGAGGAATAACCAGGGTTTGGACATTTGTTTTACAGTAATCTGGACATTTACACATAGACCATCAAGAAAACAAATCCTGTTAAGAAGGTTGATCCTACTAGTGTTGACATACATTTTGGAGAGGAATTTTTGCTAGCCCCTGGTGACTTTCCTGATTATTTATAGGAGTACTGAACATATAGCAGGCAAATTATGTGTATGCATAGAACAGAAATTCTTAAAAGCTCTTTGGTTCCACCCCCTTCTTTATCAGCATGAAGCTCCCCTTAACAGTAATAGTCTGCTGCCCCCCAGGGGCAAGAAATAACATGTAGCCATGGTCTCTGTGTGACCTATATCAGTATCAAGCAGAAGTCTCTGATTCAGCCGTATGTACTGAGCTTCATCGTTAAGCAAACTCAGTTGTTCAGGGATATTGTCTGAGGTGTGTGTGTGTTTTTTAATATGTTGCTATTAAATTGCATTGAAAGAAAGCTTGAAAGTTAGCATGGAAGGTTTGTGTTACTCTGACTTCATATGGTGATATGCACGTTTATTAACTAATCTGTCCGCCTTGACAAAGCAAACCTTGGAATAGCATAATACATATGTATAGGGAAATTTACATGTTTACAGAAACAGCTATGCTGATGTCAAGAATCATCAAAAGGGTTCTTTGCTGCTAATGAGCATTCATTTGAGCAGTAATATATGTGCCTAAACAAAAAGGGATGCAATGGTTGTCATCGTTGCCCTTTTCCCTTGCTGATGAACAAATACTGCCCAGCTTAGGGGAAGGAAAGGTTGTTCATTAAAATACATGAGGCTGATCTACAACACAGTTGTGATACTTGTGACTATTCAAAAGTTCAGCTGCACATCAGATCTGCTTTGCTAACACTCTTTCTCCAAAGGACAACTGAAAGTTAGAAACAACACTCTGGAAGCCTGGGATGCAAAATGCCTTTTGTTTCAGCAGTTACCATTTCACAGCTGCATGTTTGTATTTGCCATATTTGCATGCTAACCTTCCACAAAGGAACACAAGGCAGCACGCAAGGGGTTATCCATTTTATTCCATAACAACCCTGTGAGATGTTAACTTGCCCATGTCGTCTCAGGGATCTGAATCCAAGACAGTTGCTCTTTTCTTTCCTTTCTCTCTGACTCCCTTCCTTTCCATGACAATAATGTCATGTGCTACCTTGCTCCAGGTTCAGATTGGTGCAACTGCAACCAATTCAAACCAAATAATTTGGACAGTCGCCATCTTAAAGTGCTTTGGACATCCAGAAAGTTGCAGAATTATAAGATTATGTACTTGGGGTCAGGATCTGGGTCTGTGGTGCTGTGTATTTGTAAATGTGTCTATTTAGTGGCATCTATGCACCAGCTTAGGAACGCGGTTGGTGCTGTGGTCTAAACCACAGAGCCTAGGGCTTGCCGATCAGAAGGTCAGCAGTTCGAATCCCCGTGATGGGGTGAGCTCCCGCTGTTCGGTCCCAGCTCCTGCCCACCTAGCAGTTCAAAAGCACATTGTGCAAGTAGTGCAAGTAGATAAATAGGTACCGCTCCGGCGGGAAGGTAAACGGTGTTTCCGTGCGCTGCTCTGGTTTGCCAGAAGCGGCTTAGTCATGCTGGCCACATGACCTGGAAGCTGTATGCCGGCTCCCTTGGCCAATAAAGCAAGATGAGCGCCGCAACCCCAGAGTCGTGCGTGACTGGACGTAAGGTCAGGGGTCCCTTTACCTATTCACCAGCTTTCATGGGATACCACACGTGGTGATTGAAGAGGACTCTGTCTTTGTCCCTGCCACAGAGATGTAATAGTCCTTGTATGGGAAACCTATAGCCATGATTGGTCAAATAAATAGTCTGATTATATTTAGTATATATTGGGGGTTTGTCCCTACCTACTTCACTTTCTCCACCCAAACTGGGCCAGGAATAAAAGAATGAAACCTGTGTTTGTTTGTTTTTAATCTGTTCCAAGTAGAATAAGGGATGCATTGATTGGTCATTAGCGATTCACTACATGTAGGTCACAGGTGCTCCTGACGTATTGGAGTTCCCTCATATTCCCTCATGCATGGAAAGAACATGTGAGGGGGTCATACTATATAGCTCAGCCCACTGCCAGTGAACATTGGCAATGACCCCCCACTATGTGCATAGTGGCTGCATGAAGGGACCCTATCCACAAATAGGTGTAGACCCATAGATCTCCTCCACATGAGGAAGGATCCCTATTGTCGCATGATGCCCCAGTGCACAGAGGAGCTATAAACATCACAGCATAATTTAATGCTATATGAGCTCATTTGCTCCCTTCTTACATCTCTCTTTTCCTTCTCCCAACACATCCTCAGGTATCTCCCTCACTTCCAATTTACTACTGAACCAGACAAAGGGCAAACTATGGTTTGCACAAACCATAATTTGCAGACAAATTGGGATTATATACTCAGTTCAAGCCATTGGTTGCAATCCTGGTTAGCATGCTAACTGGTTTCTACACACTGTACTCTACCTCATTCATATGTAACTGCAAACTATGGCTTGCTGCTAACCTAATCATTAAAATATGTAATCAACATGTGTGAGGCTTGTTGATGTAGTGCCAAACAATGGTTTGAATCAGCCCATTATGGTGTGGCTGTCTTTCAAAGAAGCAGGTCTCTATCCAGAACATAGTTGGCAGAAAGTATCACAGCACTGTGACACCTTTTTATTGCGAATCAAGCCCCCTAGCCTTACAGTGGTACCTTGGGTTAAGTACTTAATTCGTTCCGGAGGTCTGTTCTTAACCTGAAACTGTTCTTAACCTGAAGCACCACTTTAGTTAATGGGGGCTCCTGCTGCTGCCGCGCCGCCGGAGCATGATTTCTGTTCTCATCCTGAAGCAAAGTTCTTAACCCGAGGTACTATTTCTGGGTTAGCGGAGTCTGTAACCTGAAGCGTATGTAACCTGAAGCGTATGTAACCCGAGGTACCACTGTATTTAGAAAGAAAATCACCCCAGCTCACTGCTTGCTGGAAGAATCTAATTTTCTGGTTAGTATCCAGATCAAGAAGATACTAGTGCAAAACAGATGGCACTATCTTGCAGTAGCCAT